CCCCGCTGTGGGGAGCCAGGCCCTCGCCAGGCGGGCAGAGGAGCCCGGCAGAGCAAACCGGGCGGTGCGCCGTCACGCTGGGAGCAGGAGAGGTGAGGCGAGGCGCGGGGCGATGAGAGCTTTTTGATTGCCCTTTTCCCAGGGCTTGCTTTGTGGGGTTGTTTTTTTCTCCACGTGCTTTAATGCTAGTGGCTGATTCACGTTTTGAAAGGAAAAAATAATTCTCACAACTTCTGTTGCCAGTCAGCTTTAAAACTGGACTTGAATTTTCTTCCTCAGAGTTAACAAAACAGACGCAACTTTTTACCAAGCTCTGGCGTGGCTGCCTGCACACAAAGCGTTTTTCATAAGCGGTTTCTTCTGATGATGAACTTTTGCTGCTTTTGTGAAGAACTGTAGCAAAAGGAACAACCTTGGCACGTGTCGCTGCATGGACAGGTGGGTCTGCTGCAGCGAGCAGCCCTCTCACATCCCTCTCGTTTCCCTGCCCCCTGATCACACCATCCAGCACTTTGAGGTACTTGAGTGAAAACATCAGTTAGATAGAGGACTGGTATGAAATACCCCTGTAATGAGACAATATATTTAAATGAACTGTATCTCAGCTGGAAGGTTTTCAACAAAGGTCTTACCTGTCGGATCCCTGGATTGCTTGAGTTTTGAGTTTATACCTGCAGGACCAGTCTTCTAGCCCCACAAAATACGATCATCTTGTCTCATAAACATCCCTATTCCAGCACAACACCTTGACTTAAGAGATCTAGGAGCAGACAGAGGAATCAAAGCTTCCTTGTGAGGTGGGAAAGGAAGGAGAACGGAGTTCTGCTGCAGCAAGGACCAAGGGGTGAATGTTCCCTGTTTGCACATGTACAAATCGCTCCATAGGGGGGTAAGTTGTGAGTCCCTGTGTACTTTACTTAGAAATCATTTCACCCCAAGGGCTTGGCTCTCCACCCCCTGTCATGGAGACTTATTAATTTAGCCATGTAGTTTCATTCTTGGCATCAGGCAAGATGCCAAAAGTCTCACAAAAAAATGTTTGTTAATTAATGTGCCAAGTCTGAACATAGACCAAAAAGTGGTCTCACTAACCTCACCTATAGACCTTAGGATGGTACGGTGGGTGTCGGGATGATAGTGACATGGAGCTGCTAATGACTGCAGGGAGGAGCAGCAATTAACTTGTTTTGTCAGCTTAATTTAGGGTAAGTCTTTAATAAGGGTGATCAGCATGTGGGATTAGCATGGCATGCCCATCTTAAATTGCAAAAGCTGGCTAGCTGTTTTAGAGCTGGCCCAGAAGCACAGGAGACAGAGGGGATTCAAATGTAGGCTGGTGTTCCTCCTTGTTTGGGACCTGTGGGCAGCCTGCCTTGTAGCAACAGGGTCCACGGACAGGCAGGAGATGTTGTGTGGGAATTGTGGTCTAGGTTGCCACCTAGAAGAAACCATATATGGGTCAGTAGCTGGTCACTTTGGTTTGGACAAGTTGTATGTATAGGGTTGGGGATGATTGCTCTGTTGTAAGGCAGTTATTTCTGTGACTTTCTTGTGTGGGAAAGGATTATTAATGTGCTCAAAAGAATGCAGAAACAAATTGCTGACCCTGGGGAAGGAGGCTTCCCTGACTTTTCCACGGCTGTCGATGGCATGTTTGTGTCCATAGCTGCCTCCATTTGATTCCCAGAATATATCAGCTGGAGCCAAAGGAAAATAGAAGTGTCTTCTTACTCTCCTTGTTCCTCTGTTTTTCAGTCAGTGCTGTATTCATAACAGTCTAGCGCTTTTTTTTTTAACTTTAGCAATTGTGACTACAGAGTTGTAGTCATACTACATACTACAATCATACTACAAGTTGTGTATATATATTAAAAAAAAATGTTGCTTCAGCACCCAGAAGCTACCTGTTAAGAGCCACACCTCCACAGAAAGAAACCCAGTCCCTGCCTCCAAGAGATCTATGTTTAAAAAAAGCTAGCTAAGCAAGTGCAAAAGAGGAAATGCTAGAGGAAAACAGCAGAGAGTTAATTACATGCTGGAGTGCCCAGGCCTACAAAAGGTCTGTCACTTGCTATTTAGGGTTAAAGCTTTCACCTGGCCCTGGGAAGCAGGGCTGTGTTGTCCTCTGACTCTGGCTCAGTGTAAGCAAGCAGCTCCTCCTGGGTCTGTCACGGTAGTACGGAAGATTAACTTGTTCCTGAAGCAGGTAGGCATGAAAGTGAGTATGGCTGATGGAGCAGGCAGCTTTAGGAGCTGAGCCAGCCTTGCTGCTGTCCCTTTCTTCTATGCCAGTTCTGACACTGCTGGTTAGCCTTTTCCTTCATAGCAGTATTAGTAAGCTCTTACCTGTTCTTACCTTTTGCTTCACAAAATTGTAGGCACTTTGTGCTTTGGGGGTTCCTACTCTTTTTCCCAAGCTGATTAAAATTGGTCAAAAACTATGAGCAGGAAAGAGTCAAATAGATATGCATGTAAGCACACGTATTTGCTATTCATGTGTGCTGTATGGCTGCCCAAGCCTGGATGCTGTGGGGAAATAGGGCTAAAAAACAAAGATGTCTGTCCATGTTGTTGGGGTTTCTTTTCATAATAGAGAAGAAATAACTTTTTAAAAGTATTCTTTTTCAAGGGGATAAGCTGGTTTAGTTAAATTTTTTTCTTCTCCCTTTTCTAGTTCTTTCTGTTAAAGCAGAGGAATAAATATCCAGAATAAAGAACAATTAGGTTAAAAGCTGGTGACAAAAAAATGTATTTAAACAAGTCTTCTGCTCAACAACCCCTCTGCCCACAAACCCCACCTCAATTCTGAAAGCTGCTTAAAAATAAGCTGTGCTGCAGTCCCCATTCCGAAGTCAAGTTTTGCCTGATGACTGTGTGAAGCCTGCTGTATTCCTGTCCACAGAACTGGAGCCTTTGTTGGAGATGAGTGGGTCAAAATTGCTTAACGTTCTCTTTATAAAAAAGTAGTTATTTCAGAAAACTGTTGTATTCTGCTGACAATGTGGCATGAACACTGCTTGAGATAACCTATGTAATTCTCTCGTAAAAGAGAAATCTTGACGCAGGCATAGGCAACTTTTACCCAATAAGCTGATACACCTGGCTATGTTTCTGTGAAGTCCAGAGAAGAGTGTGAATAGTTGTTACAAGAAACTTTGACTGATGTGTTCTTAAATGTTCCACTAAAGTAACACAGCTTTTACTTTTTGCTAGGAAGTGTTGAGTGAATCACAAGGGGTCCTGTAGCCTGCTCTCCAGCTGTTTGCTGCCCTTCACCAGATGTTCTGAGAACAAGAAACTCTTCAGTGAGACATTTCAAAGTTGCTGCCCCACTTGAAGGTAAAAGTGCTGCAGCTGTATTACCGTATCCCCACCTGTTGCATACGTACCTGGGTCAGACAGAAAGTGGAGGGGTGGGGATTTTAAAAAGTGTGATAAGACATCTTAAGGAGGGTCAGCCTGGAGCCCAGTCAACTGATAAAAGCAAGAATGCCGGTGAGTAAACAGGCGTCTGCAGGCTTGCCCAGGGCTGTAACTATTTATGGCCAAAAGAAACCATGAAGAAAGGACCTCAAGAGCTATTGCTCTACATCTTACCTGCTCTGGCTTATGAAACTCTTCCAAGAATGTTTGTGGTTGGTTCAAATTTTTCTGTATTAATTACTCAAAAGACCCAGATCTACGTTGTTCTGTACCTCTTGAGAAACTTCTTGTGACGCTGCTGTCAGAGAGGCTGTGCAGGCATCTCTCAGAGCTGAGCAGAGCGGTATGGTATGGCCTGCTGTGAGATGTCCTCCGGTCCCTGGGGCGTGTGGCAGCTAGTCTGTTTGAGATGAGGACGCGAGCCTGGTGCTGTTGTCCGAGGTCTGGAGAGCCCTTCCAGCGCCCTCGGCAGACAGACCGTGCTGTCTGAGAGCTTTTGTGGTAAGCAGTTTTAGAAGCAAACCTGGGTTGCTCTTTTGCTGCTGCCACCAGGTGGCAACAGCGCATTGCAGCCCCATGGTCCTTGCAGGAAGGCAGCAAATAGCAGCATCCACTCCTCCCAAATCCCTGTTACTCTGTTGCTGCTCTTCCCTTTCCTGCGTGGGTCATGCTGTCTGCCTCCTGCAGCCCTTCATGCCGGAGCATGAAGTGGTGCTCAAAGCCAGTAACTCAATACTGTGCACTCAGCTTTAAAGCACACATCTGTTGCTTGCAAAGCAGAAGGGAGTGGCTGGCTGGGGAGCAGGGGAGGTGGTGGCCAGTGGCTAGATCACTGGGACTCTAAGGTTTCCTGCTGTGTGGCCCAGGCCAAGTCTGGTTCAGTTTCTCATGTCTACCCTGGGTACAATAATAGCAATTCAGGCACAGCGAAGGTAAAACAGCAGAGAGTAAAATGTGTGCACAGTCAGTCACCTTCCGTGACACACAGATGGAAACAGCTGCTAAGTGACTGGGTTACGTGGTGGCTGGATGACATCAGGTCTGGCTCCTCAAATTTTTCTGTACTGCTCCGTGGAGTCATTATGGGATGTTATTTGCAGCAGCAGCTTAGGCACCTTGAGCCTGGAGAGCCCTGAAAAGTGGTAGTACTTTCATAGCATAAACAGAGCTGTGCAGCACAGTGGTTAGCCTTAGAGGGTGTGCTAGGTGTTAAGTGCTCTCCCTGAAGATAGAGTTACTTAGCAGGATAGATGGGTTAAAACTTTACTGTAAAAAGTGCAACAGAATAACTCTCTCAATGCTGCAGTGCTTGTTTGGAGAGGAGCTATTTCTAGCACCATTAGTATGCCGAGAGGCTGAAGTGGTTTTCTGTATTGTACTTCTGGAGATCAGCGACGTGGAAAAGCACTATTGCTGCATTATGCAGTTAAGCAGTAACACTATGAGAACAGAAGGAAAGTTATCTTCCTGACAAGAAGATCCTTTTGAATTTGTCACCTTCCCAAGGTATATGCTTTTGCCCAGTGCAAAGTGGAACTTTCAAGCCCTAGGAAAGAATGCACTTGTACAGAGAGAAGCAAGAGTTGGACTTTACCAGCAGTTTTCCTCTTTGCCGTGGTTTATAGTTTGCATATGGACTTGGCCACTGAGCTTCTGTATACCAGATGCTACTCAAGCTCATGCCAAAACAGTCTCTGCTTGAACTTGCAAGCTACGTTGGCAGTTTTAAATGGGGATGTTCTCCCCACTCACACTTCTTTTTGGTGAAGGTTCTGAATTGCAACAGTAAATATCTTATCTGAATTTAGCAAAGCAAAATAGTAGCAGAAAGTGCTCTAAATCAAAATTGCTCCTCTCTTTGGTGTGAGGCATAGGGCTGATTAGTTCTGCTCTACCTGGGTGCATCACAGGTACTGATAGGCATGAAGTGATTGCTTTGTTTTGGCAGTAATGTACTGCTCCGGCCCTTAAACCTTGCTCCTTGTAGGAATGCAAGGGGGAATTCAAAGAGGAATCCATACCCTTACAAGGTAGATCAGACTGAGCTGGTACTGTAGAAATCCACTTGCTTTGATGATAGCTCTTTGAGATCCCTGCTTGTACGGAGACTGCAGCAGACTGTTAAAGCTAAAGTACTTTCGTTCCTGCTTTCAGACTGTATTGCTACAAATCTTGCAATATTGACTGCATGGGGCTTGCTTTCTGCTGATATTGTGGCTCTTAAAGCTGTCTTGAGTGTTCAGCAAAGAAAAGAGCCTTTATCTCCCTATTCTGCTGGCAAAGTGGAATAAGTGAGAGTGATGCTTGCAGCTGTAAAGCTGAGAGTGCAGCTGACTCTCCTGTTGGCTCAGCATCCCTTTGCTTCTCACAGTGACTAATGCCTAAATTAAACTAGGGTTCTTCCAAGCTGAGAGCATGGAGTACTTGTTCTTCCAAGCCATGTTCCTGTCTAGTGGTAGAAGACAGTTTAAGATGATGAAGCTGAATCCTGGGCTCTTGCAGACCTCTGTGCTCTGCTGAGGCAGGAATGGATGTGGCTAGTGTCATTCCTGGAGAGATTTTAGCTTTCCTGCTAGTCTTTCCTGACTACCCTGGAAGTTGCATGCAGATGGATGGGTGGATCCCTGTTTAATTGAGTGACAAAGGATAGGTGCTGGCATACAGTTTACCCGGGGGATGGACCTGGCACTCACTGAACACTTCAAGAGAGAGTCCTGTCTGGAATCACGGACTATCTATGGAAATTAGTGTAAATGCTTCTTGAAACAGAGGACAAAATGCTCTGCTGGAACTGATAGCATGACATTATGCTTCAGTTACCTACCTGCTTTTAAACTGGAGCCACTAAATGTGGTTGAACCCGTTTGGAGTTATCCACCCAGGAAAATGAGGAGAAAGAGATGGCACTATCCAGAACTGCTGGAGGAAAGAAGATTGTTTTAATTGCCTGCCTATTGCCTGTGCAGATTGGCCAAACATCTGCTTTCTCACCCATGTCCAAATGAGGAACAGGAGTACTCAGCTATAATTCTGTTAAAACCGCAGTGTGGTCATGCTTGTGTTTACAAAGATCTCTGCAATTGAAAATGACAGCTTAACTCATTCTTCTGAGATGCCTCTGACCCCTTTTGCATTTAAGCTTTCCTCTATGAAACTTCCACTGCATCTTTCTGAAGCTTTTACTGTCTGAGCTGACCTGCTTTGTGAGGACAGCTCCAATGAGTGGGAGCCATTTTGGAGACTCCTTGGAAAGAAAACTATGGTTTCTTTTGTGTGTTGAGAACCACAGTTTCTCCAGTGGAGTAAACCCATTGTAGTGCTGATCCCTGGGTCCGAGTTCAGTATGCAAGGTCTTACAGAGAAAAAAAACCCATTCTTTCTCTCCCCAGGTGACTTGATAGCTGTTATTCCCTTGCTGACAGAAATTTTTTCTTATCAGTACATGTTTTTTATGTCATTAAACTAAAATATAATACTAAATAAAACCGATTACTAGGATGCATGTACATCAGAGAAAAGAACTCCCATGCTGTGCATCCGAGATGCCTTGTAGAAGGGAAAACTAGCAATCCATGTTTTGTTAAGGAAAGACTCTTCTTTGCTCATATTTGTCCAGAAACATTTGTAAACATGAAGATGCAGAGCTACCTGATTGAGTGCATAGTTGCTTGAATTAGGATTCTGAAAAGCTTTTTCTGTCCTCTTGTAAAGGAAGAAGGTGCAAAGCTGCCTGTTCTTTTATGCATCTTTCTGATGAGTGGCTTAGTGCTAGCATCAAACTTCTGTTTATTAATGAACACTTTCTTGGCCTCTGCTGTGTGGACCAAAGCTACCATTAACAGCTCTTTCATGTGAGTTTCTGCAAGGTTCAGTGATAATTTATGTAAATCACTTAGTCTCACACTGCAGCGGCCTGATCTCCTGGCTGCTTCTAGAACTGAAGTTCTCCTTGAATCACAAAGATTATATTTCTTCTAACAAAATGCTCTATGTATGTTAGTGCCAGCAAGAAATTTTGTGCTGCTTTGGCTTCTGTCCAGAGAAACTGGTCTGTAGTTACCAGGAAATGAGAAGTAGTACCTTGAGTGAAAATACGCCTTGGGAGTGTGCAAGAGAAATAGAGCCTAGACCCTGTGCAGGTCTGTGTGAAGCTGATTTTGCTCTGATAACTCACGATGAGCATTATCTACTTGTTTTAAATCAAGAAGTTATGCCTGTTAAATGACTCATGCTGTACATCTACCCTACTTTACGACTTCTACTAGAGGGGCACCTCTGCCCCTTAAACAACAAACGTTTGGCAGGAAGCATACAAGACGGCACGCTGGCTGCCTGTCTTCCTCACAGTGGGCTGTGAGAGATGTGCTTAACTGCTCCCAGTATCTTGGCTGTAGTGGAAAGCTCACTACCTGGGAGGGTTTCTCGCATTGCTTTCCCCTCTCCAATGCAGCCACTCTTAAATGCGTGATCTGATTGTGTGTGTGTTATTTCTCACTGTCTTTGCCACACAGAATGATGCTAAGCCACACTAACTCCCTCCCTTACAACCACTAACACTTCACTTACAATTACTGAAGTAACTATGCACTTCAGCTGAAATTAGTCACTTGAATGAGATACCTCTCTTCCCCAGAACTGTAGTTTTATGTATTTCCACTAAATTCTTTGAAAACACTTCCCCTAATTCTAGTTTCACTGATTAACCTCCTCCTTGCTGCTGAGAGACTTCAGATTTAAGCTGGCTAGAGTATTGCTGGTGTTCCTTCCCTGTATGAGCTGTGGGATACTGCACTCTTACTGCCAGTTCGTGTGCACCTTCCTCAGGTGAAATTTCTGGAATGTTAAAGGGAACTTTTAGTGCAAGTTTTCACTTAAAGTTTATTCATGTAGGTAAGTAAATATTTCACAGAATCATT